AAGGAATTCCTTTTATGATTTGTTTGCCCTGATTATCAATAAATACACTGAGAAACATGACTTGGGGTCTTCAGTTGAAAAGTGCTGGCCCACAGTTTTATGCTCTCTGTTCTATCTCATGCCTAACTGTCTGTCTCATTATTAATAATTATAAAATTACTTTCCCCTCGGTCTGCAACAGCTAGTCCTTAGAGAAAGGCGTTACAGTGGGTCAGTAAGAGTGGGAAGAGTCTCCAGGAGATGGTCACATGGGGATTGTAGCCAAGGGGCTTGAGCATGATGGAGTTTGAGCAGAGTGCAGGTTATAGCAAGGGTTTGAGCTCTGTTCACAGGGTCACTATGAGCTGTACTTGACGTGATAGCATCAAATGAGAACAAAAAAGTATTTTGGCACCCAATGGTTAAGAACTTAGCCGGTAACCAAAAAATTGGTAGTTCAAAGATCTGCAGGAGAGACACCTGCAACCCATTTCCACAAAAACTACAGTGTAAGACACCATACAGGGCAGAAGCTGAACTAAGGGAAAAGAAAATGATTAAAAAAACAACAACAACAAAACTATTTTACTGGCCATGGCAAAAATGAAATCTCTAAAATCTGACTTTAACTTCATTGAAAAGATCAGTCAATGGTGTTGGTGTGAGAAGACATGAAGTCAATTCCAAATCACAGCAACCCTGTGAGCAGCACATGAAAATGCTACCTGGTCTGTATTAATCTTAAAATCTCTGTTGAGCTTGCGTCCACTGTTGAAGTCACTGTGTTAGTCCATCTCCCTTAAGGTCTTCCTCGCACTAACACAACTTTAACTGCAGAAAGTGCAGATGACTTGAAGCAATTACTGCAGAATATCAAAGACTACAGGATTATATCTTAATAGCAAGAAAGAAAAAATCCTTACCACTGGACGTATACACAATATCATGATAAAGATTGAAGGTGTTAACTATTTAATTTTGCTTGGATCTACAACACCCATGGTAGCTGCAGTCAAGAAAGCAAAAGATGTGTTGTACTGGGAAATCTGCTGCCAAGGGACCTCTCCAAAGTACTAGAGTAAGGATGTCAGTTTAAAGACTAAGGGGTGCCTGATTTAAGCTTCGGTATTGCTTCCTACGCATCTGAAAGTCAGACAATAAGGCAGACTAAAGACGTAATGGCTTTGAATTGTGCTGTTGGTGGGGAGTATTGAACAATATGGACTGCCAAAAGGACAAATTTGTTTTATAGGAAACGCAACCTGAGATCCTAAGATCAAGGATGGTAAAACTCCATCTAACTAACTTCAGGTATATTTTTAGGAGCAACCAGTCCTTGGAGAGAGATATGATGTTAGAATCAGCAAGAGAGGAAGATCCTCAACGAGATGGACTGACGCAGCGACTGCCACAATGGGTGTGGGCTTGACGGGCACGCTGAAGACGGAGCTGGATGGTGCAAAGCTCAGACCTGTTTTTTATAGGGTTGCTCTGAGTGGTCAACTCGATGGCACCTGACAAGAATAGATGTCTTTCAAATATGGTGCTGAAGGTATACTAAATACACCATGGGCTGCCAGAAAAATTAACAAAAGGTAGTGGTGGCTGTGTGTGCCACTGAGTTGGAACCAACCCACAGCTGACCCTCCAGCAGGTTTTCAGAGGCGGTTAATTACACGAAAGGAGACTGGCCATCTTTCTCCCATGGAGCAGCTGGTGGATTTGAACCGCATGCCTTTGGGATTGCAGTGCAATTTATCACTAGGCCGCCAGGGCTCTCTTCCCTAAAGTTAAGAACAGTGAAATTTTGTCACCTGTACTTTGGTTATACCAGGAGGGACCAGTCTCCAGAGAAGGCCATCATGTGTAGTGGAGGGCTGGACAAAATAGTGGAAGTTCTTCCAAAGAGAGACAGGCTGGCAGCGCCGTAACTGTGCAGCTGGCGCAGGGCGGGGTAGAACTCTGTTCACTAGGAGTTGAAATGGATCCCCCGGCACCTAAGAAAATTGTCTCTGTAGGAGCAAATGGCCAGGGCTTTTTTGTTCTTTGCTGGTTTGGAAATATACAGCTCCTGACTTCTGCTATTAACCACTGTGTTTCCTTATTCTCCCCAGTGAATGAGACGGTGACTGACTTCCACTTAACACTGACTTTTCCTGCCTGTTGGTTTTTATATTTAAACGTAGGTTCCCCTGCTGTTCTAGACCCTGGACGCTGTTAAACAGTTATTTAAGCTGTCCTGATACACTCTGAAATAACTATTTTAGTCGCTCGAGTTTCGCGACTTCCAAAATTTGTTAAACCAGCAAAGAACCACCTGAGGGAAAACTCTGTCTGCCTAGTTTCTTTTGAATTCTCAAACAGCTCTAAAGCAAGGCACTTAGCAGAAGAATTTTCAATTAAGAGTCCCCAGGCTCGTCTCTGCAGTTCCTCCTCATTCAAAAGCAAATACAGGATGACTTCAGGGGTAACAGGGCTTGGCCGCCACAGAAAAGGAGACAATTACAGTCATCTCATCACTATCTCTTCCCGAATGAATTACAAATACTAAAGTCAGTATTACATAGAAAGTAATGGAATTACAAACTCTGAGGCCACCTCAGTAAAACATCTAGGGAGTCAGAATTTAGAGAATTTATGCAGATTTTAGTTTATCATGTATGATGTGCATTTTAAAAGGATCTATAGCGACACAGTGGTTAAGTACTTCTTGCCTGGAAATCAGAATGTCAGCAGTTCAAATCCCCTAGGCTGCTCTTGGGAAAACAGATGTGACAGTCTGTTCACAAAAGGTTTTATGGACTCTGAAAACCTACTGCACAATTTTACCCTATGCCATTGGGTCACTATGAATGAGAAGAGACTGTGTCATACAATGACTGACCAACATCTTACAGAACTGTGAGAGAAAGGGGTACATCAAAAAGAAAACAAAGCTTTACAAAGACATTGCCAAGAGAACAGAATTTCTTTTTCTCTGCTCTATTTTTTATTTTGATGTTTGGACCAATTTATAGTCTAATGTAGGGAGCTCTGGCGGCAGAGTCAGTTGGGAATTGGGCTCCCAACCCAAAAGAGGTGCCTCCCTGCAAGTCTGCATCAACCTGAGACCCCGAGAGAGACGGGCAGTGTCCCCCATGCACTTTACAGACTCTAAAACCCGCTGGAGGGTCAACTAGGAGTTGGTTTTGTCTCCACAGCAATAAGTTTGAGCTTTATATTCAAATATATATTGTCGTTGTTGTTATTATGTGCCATCGAGTCACATAGTGATCCTATGTACAACAGCCCTAAAACCTGCTCTGTCCTGTGCCAGTCTCACTGTCTCTGACACACCCATCCCGATTACCCGAGTCACTGAATCAATCCACCTCACAGAGGGCCTTCCCCTCCTGTGCTGTCCCTCCACCCTCCCCAGCATGATGTCCCTCTCCAAGGACGGTCCCTCCTTACAATATGTCCAAAGTATGTCAGACAAAGCCCCTGAATCCTTGCCTCCAAGGAGCTGCCTGGTTTTAACCCTCTCCAGGATGAATCTCTTTGTTTTCCCAGCAGTCCATGGTACCCTCAATACTCTTCTCCAGCACCACAGCTCAAAGGCGTCAATTCTCCTTCTATCCTCCCTAGTCATGGTCCAACTCTCTGACGCATAACAAGTGACTGCAAAGACCATGGCCTGTATCAGGAACACCATAGTCTCAGTTTATAAACTCACTAGAGTTGAGTGGCCCAAGTTGAGTTGCTTGCCAATGACAAGCAAACAGCTCTTTGAATACAACCATAAAGTTGTATCCAAGTATTAAGTTTATCATTATGAACCTCTTCAAGTTATTATCAAGGCACTGAGCCTGTTGGTCACTATCTGCCTGTCTGTCCTACGGTAGTGACATAGATGCCACTGTGCTTCTAAAAGCCATTGCACTGACATTTCAAAGGCCAGCAAGGTTGCTCATGGTAGACAGGCTTCAGCAGAGCTTCTAGATTAAGGCAGTCCAGGAAGAAGAGTCTGGTGAGTTTTTTCCTGAAAACTGGCGAATGAAACCCAATGAGCCACAAAGAATACTGTCCAAGGCAGTGTGAAGCTGGAAGGTGATAATGGACTCAGGTTGGCTGAGGATGAGGATGGCACAGCACTTCTGCTATACACAGTGGGTCACCATGAGTCGGAGGGATTCAGACCATCTAACAACAAAACCTGTGGAAAAGGAGCTGTTGGAAGACCCAAGATCAAATTCGAGGTTGGCATCTACTTCAGAGAACCTGCTTGGGCTTAATCACTAGGTCAGAATTGACCTCCTTCATCCTTCAGACCCAGGTACCTGCTGTCAGTTCAGAGTTTTAAAAGTACTGCTAAACACCTGTGACAGCCAAAGCTCGATGAGAATGCCTTGTTTTCCTGGATCCCAAAAGGTTCCCCACTTTTGATAGGGTGCAGCCTTAGCCCTTTTCTACAAAGGCTGAATGTGCGGCTGTTAACAGAAAGTTTGCAGTTTGAAGCCACGTAGCTATTCCACTAGGGAGCGCTGGTGGCACAGTGGTAACAAGCTAAGCTGAAATCCCAAAGGCATACAGTTCAAATTCACCAGTTGCTGCAAGGAAGGATTGGGGTTTCCTACCATGTGATTTACTGCCTCGCCGCTGGAGAGTCAGCTCTGGGTCAGTTCTGACTTGATGGCACGTAACAGACGGTAAGGTGTTCCACCAGAGTTCTGTGTCTACACGTATCACAGCTAAGGCAACCCAATGGGCAATTCTATTCTGTCGCATTCCTTTGCTTTGAGTTGGAATCAATAAGATGGCACTCAAGAACTGCTTACTTCAGACGGAAACAATGGAATTTTCTCTGCTATGTTTCCACTTACCAGGTTCCCGTTTTTGTTTTTGTTTTCATTTTACATGTTTCACAGTATAGAACTTAAAAAGCTTTTTCCCTTTGCAGTCGGACTGGCACTGCACAGAGGTTTGCAAGTGGTGGTGACAGAATTACGGCCCAAGATGCAGACAGTCCTGTGAGGTGTTTTCCAAATTGGACTCTGCTATTTACTAACACCACCTCCCATTTCCATTCTAATCCAACCAAGGAGGAGGCCGTAATAGATATTTTGGAAGCTTCTCAAGCTTTGCTTTTTAAACAAAGAGCAGGCTGCAGGCTCTCCTGCAGAATCCAGAAATACTTACCAAATACCGCTTACCAAAACCAGTAGGCACAGTTTGTTGTGTGCTATCAAGTTGGAACCAAAACACAGCTGACCCTCCGGTGGGTTTTCAGAGGTAGTAAATTGTAATAGAGGAGACTGTACCTCCTTCTCCCTTGGCAGATGGAAGATCTGAACTGCTTGCTTTTGGGTTTGTAGCAGAGCTTCTTACCACTAGGCTATCAGAACTCCCTAGGTATCATAGGTTGGTACTGTGTACCATGGGGTAGGAACCAACCCATAGCTGACCCTCTGGTGGGTTTTCAGAGGCAGTGAAGGAGAATGCCCATCCTTCTCCTGCAGAGAAGCTTGTGGGCTCGAACCTCGTGTCTTCAGGATTGCAGCGCAGCTTCTCTATTTACAACTGTGGTCACCAGGGGTGCCGTCAAATTGGCTCATAGTGATCCTATGAACAACAGATCTGAATTGTTGCTCTATCTTGCAACATTCTCATAAGCGGTTAAGCCTGAGTGCATTGTTACTGTGTCAGTCCATCTTGTTTAGGGTCTTCCTCTCTGCCTTTTCAACTTTCACAGCATGCCTGTACTGAGAGGAAATGCCCCTTTTTCATTGTTTAAACATAAGAATAGATTTGTCAATAACCACTTAAGTGTTAAACAAAATCACTTAAAAACTGGGAGGGGTTGGTCAGGGATGGAAATTTTGCAAAAGCTCTTATCATCAAGAGCTTTGACATCAAGAGCATTCTCTGACCAAAGGTCAATCAAGTTGAACCCTAGGAAGGACTTGAACTTTTCTGACTGATAAGACATTTCCAGCTCTTCCTCCCCCACATCAGCTCAGCTGGGGTGCTTCTTAACTCTCCAGCTGCTTCTCACAGACCCTCAGGTGGGGTCTGCTGGCAGTGGTGAGCACAGGCACCAATTTCAATCTAGTCACTTTTGGCCAGTAAGTCTGCAGGTGGGTAGGTGGGTCTTAACCACTGAGTTTTCTCACTTCTAAAAATGGGTATCCACCTCGCAGGGTTTATTCATTTAACAAATACTTAATGAAGGGTTACTATATATCATACAATGGGATATGCTTTTGACATTATAGAAACAGTATCCACTCGAGTAGGTCTACATGTGAGCGAGAAAACTAGACTAACAAATAAATTAAAAACAAGGGAAAACCAATTGCTGATGGTTACCAGTTTGAGTCTGACATCAATTAGAAGGAATGAATTATTATGAAATAATCTGTAGTAAAAAAAAAAAACCACCAGAACTAAAAAAATGAAACAAAAACCATTTAAGCGAGACCTGTTGGACGAAAATTAACCAGCGTGAAAGAAGGCTGGGTGAAAAACATTTTAGATCTAGAGAATCGTGTTAGTAAGCAAGAAAAGTCTGCAAGTCCACGTACACGGAATACAATCGGAGTTGTTGTTGGGGGGGGGTGTCTGAGGGGGAAGGAGAGGGTCGGCGAATGCAGAGCCCGGAGAGCTGGTCCCCGTAAGGCACTGGGGAATTTTTCCGGGCGCTGACACCAGGCCAGGTCCCGTGCAAAGAGCTCCACTCGCCGCACCCCCTCTTGACCGACTGGAGGGCTTACTGTTGCACAAAAGTTAAAAGGTCTGGCACAGATAAAAGGTCAACTCGGACTAGCTATGTGAAACTACTAACTATGTGAAACGACACACCAAGCAAGTGAAAATGGACTAAGAAGTCTGCAGGACTCAGGTCTCCAGGGCGTCTGGTGTCATCACTGGCGAAAATGAGGCCCAAGGAGTGCAGGGATGGACTGAGCTTGGCGCCAGGTACCCCGGGAACCCGTGATTCCTCCAGACTAGAGCATCTCACAGCCAGGACCGAAGGAAAGTAGAGAGCAAATCGCCCTGCAGCCTGGACCTAAGGTGAAGATGCCCCGCCAGCGTGCACGTACCTGAAACACCCCAGCCTACGTCCGTCTACGCCTGCGCGCGGTTCAAACATTGGACGTCACGGCGCGCGCCTCGAGGCCACGCCCCTTCCCTTTCCGGGAAGTCCGCTTCTGGGCCCTAATGTCCGTCTTGCTCGTATAGAACCTTCAGATGTTACTCCGGGAGGGTTGGGGGGAAACCTGTCCCCTCTAGGCTACGTGATCATGCCAGGAAGAGAGAGAGCAAAGAAAGCGTTCCCCAGTGCCTCACGTAGTGAATTAATACAATTTGCGATTTTTCAAAGAGAGCATCACGTTGCCAGGGACTAAGACTAGGATGTTTTCATGAAGGAGGGTCAGCTGAGGTTAAAGCCATTGAGAAGTGTGTCCCGGGAGGAGCAAATTTCTTTCGGGGCGCTGGCTTATAATAGCTGCTCTAAATTGAGGCGTTTAAGGAGCTCCCAGTAGATTTTAAAGCCTGGGAAGTCTGATTTTTCAAACCACGTGTTTGAACTTACTGATTTGATAGAAAGGGGTCTAAAAGAAACTGGTTTGCAAATCACAACTCTCTGTGTTTTACTGTGAATAAAGATGTTTGCTAAGGAATTTAAGCTCCGTGCCATTTAACGTCTTTTATTTTTGGAACGTTTGCTTCGCCCCCCACCCCCCGCATCCAGAGGTGTCTCCCAGAACGAAATGACTTTGTATAAGCGCCCCAACAGCTCATTTGGTTCGTTTACTGAAGTCACTGTGCTGGGTCTGACGTTAGATGCTGGGGTTACAAGAGGACAAATCATGCAACCCTTAGCGAGACCCGAGTGGCTTGAATCCTGGAATCATGATTTGTATGGCTGAGTTCCTTTTATACTTCTTCATATTTTTTGTGTGTGTCTTCTATGTTTATCATACTGCTACCAAACAAGAATGCGGTAAGAATATTTTATTGCATGAGAGAGAGAGAAGAACTGAAGGAGAACGTGTACCAGGTCACGTAGATGCACCACTCAGACGAACAAAATCCACAGCCGCGAACGAACCTAGAGCTAACGGGGCGGGATGGGGCGGAGCCAAGAACTGGAGGCGGGCCTAGTAACCTCACCACCATAGGCCGATCCAAGGAAACGTTGTTAAACAAAGCACCTAGCCAATAGTATTGCAAAGTCAACGCCAGTGGCCGGCATACTGACCAATAGAAAGTGATGTTAGAGTTGCCGGGCGATGTTCCGCTCCCGGGCGTGGTGGGCGTGGCCACGGTGGGCGGAGTGCGGGATTCTGTTTGGGTTTTGATTTTCTGGTCTCTGGTTGTGTTGGTGGCTATGTTTTCTGCAAAGGGAGGGACGCGATTGTGGACGTCGGAAACGGACCCCTCGGAGCACAGGAAGTGGGTGGAAGTAGGTGTCCTGTGGGCGACATTGAGGCTTGAAGTTGAACTTGAGCCGGGTCTCTTTTTTTTGTCACCGCCTGGTTCATTCAGACCTGTTTTTACACACAGAATTCACACTAGGTTAGCGATCAGTTCCCAAAATTCCTTCTTTTCTCCCCATTTCTCCCCTCTGAACCTATTTTCTGGAGGAGGAATGAATGGTTTAAAGAATTCATCTACATCAGTTTTAAGTTTACACTGTTTCCTCTTTTATTCCTTATGGGTAAGTTTTAGCCCACCATGAAAATTTCGTGAGAATTGAAATACTGAAATTCCCTTTCTGCACCCTCTACAAGGGTGTTATTGGAGATCCAAATTTGAAATAAACTAACATACAAAGACAAGACCAAACTGTTTCTGTCTCATTAAAGGTGTTTATGTTCTTTAGGTATTTAAAACGTGTGATGAAGATAACAAAGGCTATCTCAGCAGAGAGGACTTTAAAGTGGCGATTGTAATGCTGTTTGGGTACAAGCCTTCCAAGGTAGAGCTTACCTTATTTGTGTATTTGGGGCTGGGCTAGGCAATGCATTAGTGAAATGGATTCTTGCTCAAGTGATGGAAACTGCCTTCCAACACCCACTCCATCTCTTCAGTTCTGACTGGTACCGACATTATAGGAAAGAATGGCAGTGTCCCACAGGGTTTCCTGGCCTATAAATCTTTACAGAAGTTGAATGCCAAATCTTTCTTCCTCAGATAGGCTAGAGGGTGCTGCTGGATTTGAACCCATGTGTATTAGAACTCCTAAGACAACTGCCTTTCAGTAGGACACTATCCTCTACCGTTGCTACCAAGTCAGAAGCAACTTATAGCTGATTCTCCACCAAGTTTCTGATGCATAGGAGGAGATTGGCCATATTTCTCCATTTGAACTGCCCGAGAAGCACAAATTTTGGGTTAAAAGCACAACTCCCTAAGAACTAGACCACCAGAGCTTTCATATTGTTGAATAGATCTGAAGAAAGGATACAACCCTGCCACATAACTTTCTTGATTTTAAACCATAAAATATCCCTTTCTTCTGTTTTTAAAACATGTCTCTGCCTTATAAGCAATCTCAGAGATGGGCCCATTGCTAAACTCTACTCTTTCTTATTTAGAACCCCATTTAGGATTGAGTGAAAAGTCTATCTCATGCTAGCTGGGAAACTTATTTCAAGAATAGTCTGCTAATGATTGTAAAACTGCAAGGGGCTGTGGACAGGTGTCATGGGAAGTGTGGGAGAGGGAGTGAGTACCAGGAAGAACCCACGAGTCTTTTTTTTCTTTCTCTCTTAAATGATATTTTTTAATTTTCCAACTCTTGGCAATACCTTATTTTACAGAGTAGAAGTGCTCTTTAGGATTTTCTTGGCTAAAATCTTCACAAAAATAGATTTTGAAGATTTTCTGCTGTGGAGCTTCTTGGATGGGTTTGAACCACCAATGTTTTGGTTACCCAGGAAATGCAAGCAACTCCATTGCTGTTAAGTCAGTTTGAATTCATGGTGACCCTCCATTGCGTTCCCCAAAGCAATCCATTTTTATGGGAGGAGATTGCTTCATTGCTTCCCTGCAGGGTGGCTGATGGATTTGAACTGCTGACCTTTTGGTTAGCAGTTCAACATAAAGCTTATTATGCCACGAGGGCCCCGCTTTAGGTTAGCAACTGTTTTCAAACAGGGATCTTTGAAAAGAGTGTGTTTACTTTAGACTCTGGAGCTCTGGTGGCTTAGTGGTAAGGAGTTGCACTCAAAGGCAACTGGTTCAAATCCACACTGGTTCAAATCCACCAGTTGCTCTGCAGGGGGAATAAAACGGGCAGTCTCTTACTTTGTGATTTACAGCTTCCTAAAAACCCTTAGGGGAGGTTAGCTATGAGTTGGTTCCAAGTTAACATCACGTAACAACATCACTTACATATTAACCAATGAGTAGGCACTTGGCTGTTCCCTGAGAGGTCAGCAGTTCAAACCATCAGAAACTCTGTGACTTAAGACCTGGCAGCCTGCTCCTGCCAAGATTACTGCAAAGGGAACCCTATGAAGCGGTTCTACTCAGTCTTGCAGGATTGTGATCAGTTAGAATTGACTTGACAGCACTGAGCCACAGCATCGACCACCTGCGTGTCTCAGGTGCTTCCACCTATTAAATTTGTACTGAGTTGCCTTTGTTAGATACTAAAAAGCAAAATAAAACTCATTGCCACAGAGTTGATGCTCATTCATGACCCCTTCAGGTGCTACAGAGAAGTGCTCCCTGGGATCTCCCTCCTTCCCCTTGGTAGAAACAGTTTATCAGGACTTTCTTCTGTGAAGACATTGGTTGGGTTTCAACTTTCCACCATTAGGTTAAGAGCCAATTGCAAACTGCTTGTATCACCCAGGGATCTTTCTGTTCAATAACTGCATCTGAAATTGGGTAGAGACATGAGAACTAGAGATAGATGTGATTCCTCAGTTTATAGGTGGTAGCTCAGCACGTGAGGTTGGATGACATTGACCGAGAAGAGTGTGCAGTGTGGAAAGAACAGCAATCTGAGGGGCAGAAGACTGGGGAGTCCCAGCATCTAAGGGTAGACAGGGGATTCCATGAAGAAGGAAGGGGAGGAATCACTTGACAAGGACAAGAGGTATGAGGAAATTGTGGGATCTACAACCCATGATTGTGGGAGTTCAAGGTGGAAAAGGGAGGAATTATGTCTGCGATGGTATTTACTTACACAAAGGCTTTTGACTGTGGATCACAACAAGCTATGGCTGATTCGGAGAAAAATGAGAATCCCAGAACATTTGATTGTGCTTATGTGAAAACTATACTTGGACCAAGAGGCAGTTGTCAGAATAGAGCAAAGAGACACTGCATGGTTCAGGACTGGGAAGGGTGTACACCAGTGATGTATTGTCTCCATACCTTTTCAATCTATATGCAGAACAGATCATCTGGGTTGCTGGGCTGTACGAGGAGGAATGTGGCTTCATGATTGCTGGAAGATTCATCAACAACCTGCATTAAGCAGATGACACAACCCTGCTTGCTGAAACTGAGAAGGATTCTGAAGCTCTTGCTGCAGAAGGTCAAGGACTGCAGTCTTTAATATGGATTGAAGCTTAATATCAAGAAGACAAAGATTCTCACCACTGGACCAATTGCCAGATCAGTATGGATGGTGAAGAGATTGAGGTAGTTAACAGTTTTAGTTTGCTTGGCTCTACAGTCAACACTCTTGGTAACAGCAGCGAGGAAATCAGGAGACGAATTGCATTGGGAAAGTCAGCTGTAAGGGACCTCTCAAGATTACTAAAGAGCAACGATGTCAGACTAAGGTGCACTTGATCTGGACTATAGTTTGCAATTGTGTGCTGTGCATTGGAGAGCTGGACAGTCACTAGGGGTGATAGAGATAGAAAGAGAATTGATGCCTTTGAGCTGTGTTGCAGGAAAAGAGTGTTGACTATACCATGGATTGCTAGGAGAACAAACAGGTCTGTCCTGGAGAGGGTCAAGCTGGGCTGCTCCTTGAAGTCAAGGATTCTGAAGGTTTGTCTGACATACTTTGGACATGTTGCAAGGAGGAACCAGTCTTTTCTTGGTGAGGGACATCATGCTTGATAGGGTGGAGGGACAGCACAGGAGAGAAAGACCCTTGATGAAATGGATCAATTCAGTGATGGGGGTAGTGGGAGACGGTGTGTCAGAGACAATGAGGTTGGCACAGGATAGAGCAAGGTTTAGGGCTCTTGTACATAGGGTCACTATGAGTCACAAGCGACTTGATACATAACAACTCCATTGAAGCTCAACATCAAGAAAACAAAGATTCTTACCACTGGGCTGATTGGCAGCATCATGGTAGATGGTGAAGAGATTGAGATTGTTAACAGCTTCAGTTTGCTTGGCTCTACAGTCTACACTCTTGGTACCAGCAGCCAGGAAATTAAAAGATGAATTGCATTGGGAAAGTCTGCTGTCAGAGACCTCTCCAAGTACTGAAGAGCAATAATATCAGTCTGGAGTGTAAGGTGCGCTTGATACAGGCCATGGTCTTTGCGATTACTTGTTATATGTCAGCTGGACAATGACTAGGGATGATAGAAGGAGAATTGATGCCTTTGAGCGGTGGTTTTAGAAAAGAGTATTGAATATACCATGGACTGCTAGGAGAACAAACAAGTTCATCCTGGAGAGGGTGAAGCCAGGCTATTCCTTGGCTACAAGGATTCTGAAGTTTGTCTGACATACTTTGGACATGTTGCAAGGCGGGATCAGTCCTTGGAAAGGAACATCATGCTTCAGAAGGTGGAGGGACAGTGCAGGAGAGGAAGACCCTTGATGAGCTGGATTGATTCAGTCACTGGGGTAATGGGACAGATGTGTTGGAGACAATAAGATTGGCAAGGATTAGAACAGGGTTTAGGGCTATTGTTTATAGGGTCGCTTTGAGCTACAGGCGACTCGATGGCACATAACAACTGCCAACGTTCTAATTCTAAAACCCTTACAAAATCTTTACTATAACAAGAAAAAGAATATTTAGTGCTTGGAGAAAGCAGGTACCTGAATTTTACATACAGCATGTTCTTAAATACGTTTTAAATTGTGTCTGGGGGGAGGGGAGTGGACAAAAAAAAAAGGTTCCGCCAAAATACCAACACTGATATTCATTGAATAACTTTTTTCCCTCTGTTTTTCATGTTTTTCTGTAATAATCATGTATCACTCTTCTTTAAATTTGGATTATTTCTTAGAATATCAAAGGGAATCTGGACCACATTGTTGTTGTTGTTGTTAAGTGCCGTCGATTCATTGCTACCCCATGAATGAAAGACTTGAACACTTGTATAACTTTCCTCCTTTCTCCATGGCCCCAGAGTTTCACAGGCAAGCTATTGTTGAAGTGGATGCCACTCCTGCTTCCAACTTGTTTTAATCAGATAGCTCCACCAAACACTGTCCATCATTACGGCTATTTCCATGGGCAAAAATTATATTTTACTTACAAGGATGTCACAAATGCATTTCATACTGGCCACCAGCTTTAAAATAATAATGATAATAAGAGGCAGTGAGAAGCAAAATGTGAGCAACACACTGAATTTTAGCCTGACGTAAGCCTTAACTCTAGTTCTAGAGCAAGGAGAGTATGAAGAAGGGAACACAGGCATTTTGGACAAATTATAGTGAATGCAACCATGCTGAGCATTACTTTAATAATCAGGAATAATTCTGTACATTCTTACAATTGTTTGTACCTAAATAAAAAGATTAACTTTTAGATAAGGCTGTGAATGTTGTAGTCAAGTTGATTTGTATAAGCTTAAACAATTTTTCTCAGTGGGATAAATTGTTGAAGCCATTAATATTTGTAACAGCTAGAGACACTGAGAGCAGAGCTAAGAGATTATATTCTAGTTCTGATGTCCCACTGGTTGTCTGTTGGAGTCACAAATGTAATGTCTCATAAAACATCCCCAACTGCTGTCCCAGGATTTAAAAACTTAAACTGCAAAGATTTCATGAAATTAAATGTTCTACTAATCTTTTCTCTTTTCCAGATAGAAGCGGATTCTGTGATGTCTCCAATAAATGAAAACACACTGGGTAATGTGAAAACGAATACTAATTTTTAGTATCCTGCATTAGACATTCGTACAACTAAAAATGCTGAACAGATATCCAGAATAGAAAGCATTTTGTTTAATCACATCTCTGTTTAATTTCCCCTTATTCAAAGAAAGAAAGGATTTAGTGATTTATTAACAAATAGATATCTATTACAGAAACTTTCAGAATACTAAGAAGTAGGTGTTAAGGAAAAACAATGTCCCTGGTAGTTTCAACATACAGAGGGTGGCGCTGGGTTTTCTGGGTTGAGCGGCTGAATGGTCCTAACTGAGATGGGAAAACTGGAGGAGATGATCTGGGGGTAGGGAAGGCCAGGAGTTCGCTTTGAATGTATTATGTTTGGGAAATTTCAGTCAGCAGTGGCTAGGCCATTCAGCTGTGTGGATACAGAACTCGAAGCAGAGCTCTGAGTTGATGATGTAAAGTTTGGAATCCTAGATCCAAGGCCATGAGGATGGTTGACACTACCCAGAGTGACAGAGAGGGTAGAGAATCTTAGGAACTATAACCATTCGACACCAGGCAGAGGAGGAGGAAATAGCACAGAGATACAAGAATGGCAGAGGGACAAGAGGAGGAAAATAAAAGAATGCTTGTGGGCAGCGTAGAGAAGAGACAGCTTCAGGGAAGAGAGTGTGGCCAACACTGCCAAGTGCAAGGTCAAGTACATTGTAAGACCTGATCAGTGGCCAGGGGAGTTGGCAACCTAGAGGTGTTCGTGACTTGAGCAAGAACACTCTCGTGTGGCGAGGACAGAAGCCAGGTGGCGTCAGTTGAAGATCAATGGGGAGTGAGAAGGTCTGAGAAGGGGAGTGGGTAAGTCTCTCAGTAGGCCCAGCGTGGCTGTGGATTAAGTAAGATTTTGTTTATTTTTTTTGGATAGGCGATACCAGAGTTGTTTCTAAGTTATTGAAATGACCTGGTGAATAGAGAAGGGGTGGGTGATGGAGAGGTGACCATCTATCATGTGACGAGATAGGATATTGTGTGGCTTTTTAAAAGTTATGTTTTTACCCAGGAATAATGCAGAACTTACAAAAAGTGACAAAAATAAAAATCTTACTGGGACCATCTGTGTACCTTGTATCTAGTGTTACATTCTGTTGACATTTTACTCCCTTTCTCTTTTCTCTTTGCATGTTTCTGTCACTACCCACTTCTCTCTGTTCTAGAACTACAGTGTTATGACATTTTTGGTAATTTCCATTGATACTATATTTCTTAATTTGTTGAAAAATCAAGAGACGAATTGCATTGGGAAAGTCAGCTGTCAGGGACCTCTCAAGAGTACTGAAGAGCAACAACATCAAGCTGGAAACTAAGGTGTGCCTGATCCAGACTATCGTCTTCACAATTACGTACTATGCATCGGAAAGTGGAACGGTGACTAGGAATGATAGAAAGAGAATTGATGCCTTTGAGTTCTGCTGGAGAAGATTGTTGAATATACCATGGACTGCTAGGAGAACAAACAGGTTTGTCCTAGAGAGGGTGAAGCCGGAGTGCTCCTTGAGTCAAGGATTCTGAAGCTTTGTCTGACATACTTTGGGCATGTTGCAAGGAGGGACTGGTCCTTGGAGAGGGACATCATGTTTGGCAGAGTGGAGGGACAGCACAGGAGAGGAAGACCCTCAACGAGATAGATCGATTCTGTGATTGGTGTGGTTGGAATGAGTGTGTTTGAGACGGCGAGGTTGGCACAGGATAGAACAGCGTTTAGGGCTCTTGTACATAGGGTCGCTATGAGTCGCAAGCAACTTGATGGCACATAACAACAACAACTACTACTACTATATTTCTGGGCTATTATATTGGGGTGTTCTGCCAAGCTGCTCTGTGGAGAAGGATGAGGTATCTTGTGTGATTAACCACCTCTGAAAACCTGCAGGAGGGCCAGCTATGGGTTGGGTCTGACTTGACAGTAAACAACCACCATTATATTTTAATGTCGTCTATTATGTGTATTCTAATTTTGTGCATTTAACGGATGTCTTTAGTAGATATTCCTCTGGTACCAGAGTTAGTCTTTGATATGTCCTTGTTGTTGTTGTTGTTGTTATGTGCCGTCAAGTCGTTTCTGACTCATAGTGACCCTATGCACAACAACAGCCCTAAACCCTGCTCTATCCTGCGCCAACCGCACCGCCTCTGCCACACCCATCCGGATTACCCCAGTCACCGAATCAATCCATCTCATAGAGGGTCTTTCCCTCCTGCGCTCTCCCTCCACCCTCCCAAGCATGATGTCCCTCTCCAAGGACTCGTTCCTCCTGGCAACATGTCCAAAATATGTCAGACGAAGCCCCAGAATCCTTGCCTCCAAGGAGTAGCTTGGTTTAATCCTCTCCAAGATGAATCTGTTTGTTTTCCTGGCAGTCCATGGTACATTCAGTACCCTTCTCCAGCACCACAGCTCAATAGCATCCACTCTCCTTCTGTCCTCCCTAGTCATTGTCCAACTCTCTGATGCATAACAAGCGATTGCAAATACCATGGCCTGTATCAGGCGCACCTTAGTCTCCAGAGAGACACTGTTGCTCCTAAGTACCTTTGAGAGGTCCCTAACCTCAGACTTTCCCATCGCAATACGCTTTTTGATTTCCTGACTGCTGGTACCAAGAGTGTTGACTGTGGAGCCGAGCAAACTGAAGCTGTGAACACTCTCAATCTCTTCGTCATCCATCCTGACGCTGTTATTGGTCCAGTGGTGAGAATCTTTGTCTTCTTGACATTGAGCCTCAGTCCATACTGAAGGCTGCAGTCCTTGACCCTTCGCAGCAAGTGCATGAGGTCCTCCTCAGTTTCAGCAAGCAGGGTTGTGTCATCTGCATAACGCAGATTGTTAATAGATCTTCCACCAATCCTGATGCCACAATTCTCCTCATAGAGCCCAGCCTCTCGGATAATCTGCTCTGCATACATGTTGAAAAGGTATGGAGACAGGATGCATCCCTGGCGTACACACTTCCCAATTTTGAACCATGCAGTGTTACCATGCTCTGTTCTGACTACTGCCTCTTGGTCCAAGTATAGGTTTCGCATTAGCACAATTAAATGTTCTGGGATTCCCATTCTTCTCAGAGTCAGCCACAGTTTGTTATGATCCACACAGTCAAATGCCTATGTCCTTAGCCACCTGAAATCAGAATAATTTCTATATTTGGCTTTTGATATGACTGATTTTTTTATTGACTATCACGCAATCTTCCATATATGTTTTGTTTTATAACATTAATTAAAATTGATCAATGCCATTTACCTTAGTGTCTCATCAGAGTCTCACTGTACCCTACTTTTTTGTTCTCCCTACCCATGGTTTTTAAATAACTATAACCCTTCTCAGTCTTTGGACTTTCTTTATATTTTAAATCACTCCTTATTTTATATTTTCCATTTTCCTCATGTTTCTTTGTTGAAGTCCTTCATTCTTGGCCAAGGCAAAGTCTAGATGATCTATCCTTCTCTGGGTACCGCTCCTGGGGCCAGAGTGTTCATCTAGACGACCTATCCTTCCCTGGGGGCGGAGTGTTCATCTAGACTACCTATCTCCTCTGGGCACCTGCTCTGGGGGCAAAGTGTCCAAAATCTGTGTCTTACAGATGATGCTAATAATAATCATCAATCAATATACTGTCCAATTTTTCCATTACATTGTTGCTATTTGTATTTTCCCCTCACTGCAGATAATAATAATCTATAGAGAACTACTTTTTAAGACAATTTTATTATTTGTGTGTGTGTACCTTTAAATTGGTTCTGACTGGTACAGGAGGAGATTGTCCCTCCTTCTGGAGGGACATCTGGTGGATTCGTACCTTGTATCTCTGGGTTTGCAGTGCAGGAAGTTGCCACTAGGCCACCAGAGCTTGCCAAGAACCACTTAAAGTCACATAACAATTCTGCTCTTTATCAGGTATATCCCTAAAGTTAGTCTCCATTCATGATTTTTGTCTAATTCAATGTTTGCTATACAGTGTCAGTATAATGGTTTTCTAATTTCAGTACTTCCTTTTTCTGATGTCTTGGTAACCCTATTAACACCAGCCTGGCTCTTGACATTTCAGCAAGAGACCTACTTTCTTCCTGTCTGTCTGTGATTGATGTTCTTCTTGTTAGATGGTGTCGAGTATGACCCATAGCCATACTATGACCAATAGACCTGAACCCTGTGCTGTCCTGTGCTATCCTCACCATCTTTGCCACACTCAAGCCCATTGCTGTAGTCACTGTGTCAATCATCTATCCATCTGAGTGAGAATCTTCCTCTCTTTCACCATCCCTCTCCACCTTTCCAAGCACGATGTCCCTCTCTAAGAAATAGCCTCTACTACCAACATGCTCAAAGTATGTGAGACAAAGCTTTATCGTCTTTGCCTCCAAGGAGCACTCTGGCAGTACTTTCTCTGAAACTTATCTGTTTGTTTTTTGGCATCCTTCAATCACTTGTGATGCATCTGAGAGCTGGAATGGATTGAGAAATCATGATACATTTACACAATGGAATACTACACAGCACGCAGGAGCAATGATGTTGTAAATCACTACTTAACTTGGGAGGGACTGGAGAGTCTCTATGCTAAGTGAACTAACTCAGACCTGTAAGGACAAAAACTGTATAAGACCGTTCTTGTACAACTTGTACGAGGATCTAAGGGGGTGAGCGGGGAAGCAGAGGGGTGAGGATGTGGAAGTTAATCATAGAGTTGCACAATTTGATGTGTGGAGGGAGGGGTGGGTAAAGGAAATGGGAAAGATCTGGTTTGAAAAGCAATGTATACAAACCTTGTAAGTAAACCAGTATAAAATAAAAATGTTATTTAAACAGGAGATGATAGTCAGCCCTATCTATTAAATATTTTTATATAAAAAAAGATGACAAAGAAGAATTAATGCCTTTGAGCTCTGGTGTTAGAGAAGAGTATTATTCATGTCGGCTTAGGCTTTCTGTTTTTAATACTTTATAATTCATTGTTGTT